GAGGTGTATAATTTGTAATTTGATTTTTACTTTGAATATTTACAAGGAAAAGGAAACTAAAAAAAGACAAGAGGATGGATCAAAAGCGGTGGTGGAGACAACAGAGCATCGTTCTTCGGCGGGAAAAAGCTCAGAGCAGAGGAAGGTAGAGGTGGTTCATCAGTCTCATCCCAAAACTAGCGGTGGAGTTCTCGTCGGAGCCGCCGCTGCCGTCGAATCCACCCTTGAATCTGCCAAAGAAGTCATCTCTAAAAAAACCTAAATAATTGTAAAAATTTGTAATGCCATGGCCATGATAATCAGACTCTTATTATTCGTTTTCACCGATTTTTTTATTTTAAATAATTTATATAACGAAATGGCAAAAAATAATGATTCATGAAATAAATAAAAAGGGGAAATTGCAAAAATGAAAAAGTGCACATTTACAAAAAATGCTATTTAGGGGTGTTCATTTACAAAAATATGATTAATTATATATTTTTAAACTCTATATCTTAAAATTTTAAACACTAAAAAATATTTTGACCCCTAAATTCTCTAAACCCGGATAACTAAACCTAATAGAACATAATTAACCCAAACATAAATAATGTAAAAAAAAATAATTTTGAAAAAGTGGTATTTTTTAAAAGATTTTAAAAGTGTGACATTTTTGTAAAGTGACACTTAAAAATGACTTGTTAAAAATTTCTCTAAAAAATAGTGGTAGATACAAATTTTGTTTTTTTGAAATTTCTCTAAAAAAAGGTGGTAGATACAAATAAAATTGTCATGTTTTGACTAAGCTAAATAAAGTAGTTAAATGTTTTATTTCTTATGGAAAAATTACTCATCAAGAAAGAATCTTGTTACTTTATTTTGTGCTCTTGTATGTAAAATGCTCTCTATTTTGTTCTTCACCACCAATTAATAACCATCAAGTTTCTCTTCGTTTCGTTGTAACATTTTGCTCTAAATAATTGTCTTCTTCGTTTTGTTGTAACATTTTGTTCCTTTTTATATTATGAGAAATTTCAAAAAATACCATTTTTCAAGTGTCATTTTACAAAAATGCCCCACTTTTGAAATCTTTACAAAAATACCACTTTTTCAAA